GACAATGACTTTCTTATTAAACAGCAAAGTTATTGAACTCAATATACAAAGAATACATTCAAATGCTTGCATCCTACTCAAAGAAGAATACGGATAAAGGGGTTTTGATTAATTTATCTCTCCAAAAACAAAACACACACAAAAGCAGCCAAAGCGTAAAGGTGTGAAATTCAACTGAGTCGAACGAACATTAAATTAGAAATAGGGGAATCCAGATATCAGTAATGCTTGAATATGCAAACTTTCATACACACACACACATGCACGCGCGATTCTGAGAAGGTAAAACTGCTCTGCAAATGAATACAATCCATCACAGAATGGGAAAGGACTGAATAAAAAACCCAGATGGCATATACACTGCAGTAAGTCACAAAACTAAAAAGTGGTCAGAAAATAGATAATGATCATACACAAAATGAATACTATTTGTTCAACATACAGGTATAGCTGATTGAAAATAGTATGCCAAAATTGCCCAGATAGCGTCCTGTTTTTTTATAGATTTTTGAAGTATGCATCCATGTTTGCTAATAATGATCCAATAATTTTGGGTACATAGTTTGTGACATTCAGTAATGAATTTAGCTACAATGCACGCTAGTTTTAGCATCAAATGATGGCCACAGAGCATCCACAGTTCATCCGATGCATACTGCATGCAAAAAATATTAATGGTTGGCTACAATTAGCTGTGTCTTAGTTGGTTTTACGCAAATTCTGGAGGGTCAGGTGGCCAGTCTGCATGGACACAGACTGATGTTTAAAAGGTACTGAGCTCATATTACGAGCGGTTTGTGCAATTGAAAGCAAGTAAACTGTGAATCCACAAGCAAAACTGTATATTTTGCTTTGTTCTCTTCCTGTCTGCACTCATTATTTTCCAGAGAGACAGAAATTCTGATCAAGTCTACACACATTTTCCCCTATTTTCACCTAGTGTCATTAGAGTTTTTTTTCAAAGTGTTCTTCAAAGTGAGACAAACCTCTTCCTGAACGGCGAGTACAGTAGTGTAGTCACAGTTACTGCATTGTGTACATGGTGTATCCACACCCTCATCATCAGTGAAGCACATACTGCTATACAAGTTATGCTGATCAAGGTCTCTTCTGCTAATGAAACAGAAGCCAACAAAACAAAACAAAATTTTATGATTCAAATATTATAAGATGTGTTTTCACTCATGACAACGTTGTGCTCTATAGAGGCTCATTCTGTTTATCTGTAAAGAAAGAGTTCGCATTTCCCCCCACAATGTACAGTATGTCGTATCTTCACACGATCTCTATCTCTCTTAGTTTCTTCTTTCATTTTTTTCTTTTTAACATGTGGTCTGACAGACAGTCATGCTCACGACAAGTACAAGTAAAGACTGGCTGTCGTTTGTCACGTAATCTGAAATCGTTGTTCCAGAAATGGTGATGGCATGGCGAAAAGGATCAAATGCATTGCACGATGAGCTTCATCAATATCTATCTTTCACAACAACAATGCTTCCTGCCTTGTGATTTCCATAGAAGGCTTAAAAGCCAACAGTGTACTTTAATGATGAAAAATCTGATAAATGCAACTGGGGAACACTCAACATATGTGTTCCAAAAAAACAGGGCAATTCTCACAATAAGGCATTGGAAAGGTTCTGTTGAAACATGCTGATTAAAAATTGGTACGGCGTTCATGTACAGTAGATACAAATTTCACGAAGGCTGCCATTTGTCATCCAACCTGAGCTCAATATGAACTATTTTTGTGGCAGAGATATCAGTATCTCATTCATGGCCAGTCCCTTGTGGTCAGGAAGCATTGCAGTTTCACGTCACTTTAATGTGAGTGAACTTTTAATACACAGATCATGGCCAACAGCAAGCATTCAGCCATCAGAAAATAAGAGAGCATACAAACCAAAGCATACAAAAGGCTTCAGCATTTTAAAGTGAATTTTTACAGCTGAAATTTCATTCATAATTCCTTGATGGAGCTATGTTTTATACTGACGACAGCTTTGAATCAGCTGAAATCATGCACTCTGTGGCCATAGTCTTGTGCTTAGTACACGCATTAAGTAATGCATTGAGCTTTGGCAATTATGCGGGTAATGAGAAGTCAAAGCTGGCATGCAACAATTTCCCAATCCTTCCCAATCTAATTTCTAATTCCTCACCTCACCAGGGTTTAGAAAAATAATACGAACAATACTTTATTATTAAGCTGATTTACCACACTTTGCCTTTAATTCAGATTCCAACCTTCTTAAAATAGTCTCCTTTAAATATTCTCCAGTCGTCTATCAGAACATCCGCCAGTTGCTTTAGAAATGTTGAAGAAGGGAAATTGCTCACAGTGTTTTTTTTTTATTTTGTTTTTTATTTAGTTAGTTTAAAAGGGGGGGGGGGGGAGACAGTAAATTAATCAACATTCATAAATATAAATGTACCCAAATTAGCTCAACGGCTAGTTTTCATTGGTAGTCCCTTTTCCAGATGTTATTTAGGCCAAAAACATTGGTCCCAATTTATATTACGTGTCCCTAATACCTGTGTACTTAAATAGTAACTAGATGTGTACATAGTATGTAACAACAGTGTAAGTACACATTGGTACATAGTATCGACAGCTCTAATGTTTGTGTAGCTACACATATGTAACAACCCACTGGATGGTAATCCAGTAATTTTGGTAATGAAATTACAAATGTGTAGCCGGACTAACAACACTTTTTGGTAATGAAAGTACAAATGTGTAACCGAACTAACAGCACTTTTTGGTAAAGAAAGTGTTACACTTTATATTAGATTTACCTTGTAATTACTCTGATGTTACACAGCAGCAGCCAGTAAGTTAGGCTTTACATATAAATTGTGGTTGGTGTCCAGAATGTTACACTTTATTTTAAGTGGACAGTTCCTGAGGAGTTACTATGTAAGTACTCTGGTATAGCTTGAGATCCAACTCCTCCCACTTTACATATCCCTAAACCTACCCATCTCCACCCCCTGGATCAAATTGTTCCAATTACTCTTATACATATTGTTGTTACAAAATGTAGTTATATAACTCCTGTTACATGAGTACTTAGTGAAGTGAAAAAGTGTTGTTACCAATGTCCTGTTACACATTTGTACTTACACAAACCATTCTGAGGATTGTTACATGTGTGTAGTTACAGAAATATTACCGCTGTAGATACTATGTACCAATGTGTACTTATACTGTGGTTACATACTACGTTCACAACTAGTTACTATGTAAGTACACAGGTATTAGGGCCACTTAATATAAAGTGGGACCAAAAATTTTGATAATTTTCAAGTCAGCTGATTTGTCTGGAGAGGGCAAATGCTGAAGTTCATCTTGGTGCTGCAGTTGTCCAAGTTTTATGATCACGACACCATCTTTTTAGCAGTTTAGCAATGGGATCTGTTATTAAAGTTTTATCAGTTACAGCTCTTTCATCGATGTTGGTTTTGTCTCTGTGGTCAGTTTTTGTGGAAACGGTCTTCAATGTGAACACTGAAGTTTGATGCAGTAGCTATGTGTTATTTGGACACAATCCTTCTTATTGGTTGATGATCCCAATCATTCGCTTTCAGTTTTCGCCTACTATTCTTCTTCGCTGATGAAGTTTTGCCAATTTTTGTGAACGCAGTCATAATCATAAAGGCTGTTGTTCTTAAAACACTAAACAATTGGGCTGTTAAGGTTACAGACACACCTGCTAAACAGGTTCCCTTGATTTGCCCTTAACACTACTACACAATTTATACTACACTGATATACAACCTAGAGAATATAAAGAACAAAAGGATAATTGCAACTTTTGTTTTTTCATTGTAGCCTATATAAATGTTATTAACCCTTATAATGAAGGATGTTCGCATTATTTTGTCCAACCCCAGTATATATATATGGCCTAATGGTTAGAGAATCGGACTCGTAACCCAAAGGTTGCGGGTTCGAGTCTCGTACCGGCAGGGATTGTAGGTGGGGGGAGTGAATGTACAGCGCTCTCTTCCACCTTCAATACCACGACTGAGGTGCCCTTGAGCAAGGCACCGAACCCCCAACTGCTCCCCGGGCGCCGCAGCAAAAATGGCTGCCCACTGCTCCGGGTGTGTGTTCACGGTGTGTGTGTTCACTGCTGTGTGTGTGCACTTTGGATGGATAAATGCAGAGCACTAATTCCGAGTATGGGTCACCATACTTGGCCACATGTCACTTCACTAAAAAAATATACCATGGCATGCTGTGAATTAAACAGGCCAAAAATACAATCAAGCGTCACTTTCTAATGCAAACAGAATTACTAGCATTGCTCACATTAAGCGTTTTTGAGCATTTTTGGTTATCATGTCTTCATTTAGGAATACTCCAAGTCGTTCACACTCCAAGGAAAAACGTGTGGATAAAGGAAATATAAGAGAACTAGATTGGATAATGACTGGGCAGAGTTTAATTAATGTAAGCACAAACATACATGATGCACTGACAGAAAGAGGAAGAGAAAGAGAGAGAAACACTTCCAAGATCTCCTGCCTTTTACTGAAAGGCTTGTACAGCATTTGAGTCTGCATATGTGAGTTCATGGGTGTATCTTAGCATGCAAGCAAGTGAATGTGGGTGTTTAAGTGTGAAAATGTGTTTATCGGTGTGAATACATGTGTAGACGTGTTCTTTCATGCTTCTGAGAGCTGTGACTTTTCTTTTCTGTTATATGGTGGTATTCATGCTGTAAAGGTGAATACTGTCATTAAAATGTATTGATTAAGACTTCATTAGTCAGTTTCTGGTTCATATTCAGCAGCATGTTAACTCTGTTCCTGTGGAAAGACTATTTCTGATGATCAAGCAACTCATGTTTTTACCCAACCAAGAAAAAAAAGGAACTTTGGCTTTGGGGTATTTCAAGTAAATGATCTCATGTGTGCATATGCACTTCAGTAATGAGAACACAGCCTCAAACACACACACTAGGAAAACATACTGATTTGAAGTTGAAGGCAACAGACCAGGTTAAACTCACTTTAACCAAGCACTGATGAATGGAATGTTTACAAGCCTTTCTTGATGACAGAAATACAGGTAAGAACTTTTTTAAACACATATATGTTTAGAGTATGAAACTCAATAACACAATGATTTTTCAATGTGTTTTTTTTCAGTGTAGGTTTTGAGTTATTGAAATTATAAATAGTCACTGACTGAAATCAAAAATATATATGGTATGACATGAGTAAGAGTATGAAATACTATAGTCGGTTTTGAGCTGCTGATATCAACAAAATTATTAGGAAGTATATAATATAACACACTAATATATATTATAATTTAAGTGAGTTGATGAAATGTGAAAAATATCAAACAATTCAAAGAGAAAAAAAGGACCTCAGCCTATTAATAGACAAAACTTTTTGGGATTATATACATACATACATACACACACACACACATATTAATTCATTTAAAAGATAATTTTGATGAAGTGGTCATGAAGTGGTAATCTCACAATTTCCCCCAAAAATAAATACATTTAAATATAGTTGTTGTATAAGTGCATCTGTAGACCTCCAACCCTTTATCCTGATTCTTATATGGATCAAAGATCATCTCAATAATCTATGTTGAAAGCAGAAAATTGGGTTTGAAAACTGGAAAATGGAACCAATCATAGCTAAATTTATACTAGGAAACGTCTGGTTTGGGATCTCGAAATCCAAGAAAATAAAAACCCTGCTATGCTATGTTGATCAATACTCAGATTATTAACCATTAAAAAGAAACCAAAAAGGATAAAAACTGTTATAATCTTAATGTAAACATTTTTGCCTAAAATGATAAAACACTTAAAAAAACGTAAAAAATGTTGCTTTTAAGCATAAATATAGCTATATTTAGTGTATTGTGCTTAAAACAAGAATAAAGACAAAATAAACAAAGATACATTTCCCAAAAACAAGTTGCATTCAAGTAAATTGATCTTGTCGCAATGTTTCACACTTTTTTTTGTAGTGCAGTGCAGTGCAGTGCATGCACAAGTCAAGACCACCAAGATTCATCACAGAGAAAATGTGTAAATTGTTTTTGTTTTTCTGCCCTTTCAGTGAGTTCACTCACCTACGTTCACGCGTGTACTTCACCACAGCTAAACATAGCACACCTACCATACACCGTGCAACCTCTAAATGAAAGCGTAAAAAACAACATAAAAACATAAGAAACTGAACTAACTTTTACAAACTAAACACATTTTAAAGTCAATTTCCAACAGGACGTGTTGTGTGTGACCACATCTCTTTCCCCCAATGCCCCTCACCGTCTTTTAAGCTTAGGGAAATCCCTTTCTTTACAGTTTCCTGGCAGTTGCGAAAAATGTAGTGCGACATACAGTACTACGTCTGTTTTTACGCTGCATAGCTCCATTAGTGGGTTACGGGTAGATGGTCAGGTTCACCCCAGAGGAGTGGTTTTATATAGCTACCGCTACTGTACGAAACCTGCTACATGGAGATCTACGGTATTTTTTAAGATGTGCACCTGTTCCTTGAAGTGCTCCATTCATTAAAGGTGGATTTTGAATTCTTCATTGAAAGATGGATCTGGAGGTCACTATGCTTTTGTCACAAAGAGTAAGCAATATAATATATGCAGCTTTGTGCGATGTCTCTTTCATTTTTAGATGCTTTGTGACACTTTCAAAATAACTACTTTTAAAGTGAAGTGTGTAATTTTCTGTGTTAAAACACTTCTAACTCTAGACACAACAAATGATAAGTGTTTGATGCGAAACAATGTGTTTGTCGGACCAATGGCAGATGGGAGGAGCGTTCAAGAAACATGCTAGAAAACATACTTTTTACAGTTTTGTTTGGTGGCACATAAATTACATGAGACACACTTCACCTTTAAAGGTTGCTAAGTTTGCATCATGCAAAGGCTTTCAGTTACAAATGTTTTTTTCATGAGGGGAAAAAAAGTGTATGTGTGTTGTTTTTGTTAGCGCACACACGTGAGAGGGAAAAAAGGACGTTTTGTGCTTAAAACCAGTGAGAATTCTCAGGAACATGTCTGTGGTGTGTTTTTTAGACCTATATATGTTTGCGTTTGCTTTTATAACAGCATGATGTCTGTTGTCACATTTGTTCTTAAAGGGGTCATATGATGCGATTTCATTTTTTCCTTTCTCTTTGGAGTGTTACAAGCTCTTGGTGCATAAAGAAGATCTGTAAATTTGCAAAGACTAAAGTTTCAAATCCAAAGAGATATTCTTTATAAAAGTTAAGAGTCAGCCACACCTACCTAAAATGGCTCGTTCGAACACGCCCCCACATATCTACCTCACTATGTGGGAAGATTTGCATAACGCCGCCCAAATGTTCACGCAAAGAAAGAAGGCGTAACTTTTATTCTCGTTGTAGTATTGTTGCCGCTGCAGCCATGTCCTGAAGGCGCTGTGTTTCGTTGTGAAAGCGAAACTACTTTGTTTGGTCTTCCAAAAGAGGACGATATCCGCTTCGTCATGCCTGGAGCTGATCCGTGCTGGTCGCTGAGGGAATAC